TGCCTAGTACAGAGCCTGGTACATAAAAAATGCTCAGGTATTTGTTGAATGACTGAATGAGTGAATCCGTCCAGAAAATATGTTTACAGATTACACTTTAAAGAGTCTGACCATTTAATTGCTATAAATCTCTTAAATATCTAAATTCTTGAAGGCCTGAAATCAGAGGGCTCTCAAGGATCTTTCAGCTCAAACTTTTCATTTTATCAGTGAGGAAACTAAGGCCCAGAAAGCTGAAGTGACGTGTAAAGTCCCTGAGCTGGTTAACAGCAAAATCAGTCCTATTGCTCGGGTCCTCTGACTGCCAGTGCAGACGTTCTCTGTGAGGGAGCCGTGGTTCCTTAAGCGTGTCCAGAATGTGCATTATTTGGCTGTTGTGTAGTGCTGTGTGTTCACCAGCGTTGCCCAGGCGTCAGGCCCTGCCTTGGCCTGGGTATGGAAGCTGTTCTTTGTTTTACTGACAGATAGGGAGCCGCTTCTTTGCACCCACTGCATTTTTGGTTAGTTTTCTTTCTTATAGTGAGTTGGAGTCTGTTTCCTTCTTTCAGTAATCCACATTATCTGATTTTATTCTCTGAAGCTGAAATAAATTTAATCCCTTTATCTAAGCAGCCCTTAAAGTATTCAAAGACCCTATGAGGTTTCTCAGTTTTGTAGGCTAAATACCTTAATTCTAAGGTATTTAGAATTGTTTATTGACACAACCATCTTCATCTACATTCGTCTTGGGGCATTCACTTTTGTCCCTGATTTTTTTAAGATGAGGAGTTCAGAACTGAATTCAGAATCCACTGAATTCACAATCCCAGATATTATGTGATCAGGATACTCCAGGAAAACTACTTATTGATTCTGGCATCAAGAGGTGGATCCAACATAATGCTTCAGCAGTCGGGCCCTGGGGTTGGACAGACTTGGGTTTGCATCCTGGTTCTACCACTAGCTAGCTGTGTAACCTTGGACTTGACCTTCCTTAAAGCCTCGTTTTCCTCATCTTTAAAATGAGCTAATAAGACTGTTGTCTGGATCCAGTAAAATAATCGAGGTGTGCTGTTAGTAGCCCACGGCTTGGTCCATGCAAGCCCTCAGTGCTTTTGAGTTAGTATTGTTGTCATTGGTATTTTTGTTTATCTGACTGTGATCTAAGATTGCATTTGCTTTGTGCTCAGTTGCACCACAATGGGTTATCTTGAGCTCAGAGAATCTAATTATTGTTTGTGTCACTTGGATGATGTAAATAGACCTATTTTGGAAAAGATTAAATTGATCATGGGAGATGAAATATATTATACTTGTAAAGATTCAGAATTTGAGTTTTTAAAACAATGGGATTTATGAGATTGAAAAATACAAATTAACTAGATCAGAGTCTAATTAAAATCTAGTTATTTCCATTTCAATAGTGTTTGAGTTATATGTTACTGAGAGAAACTTGATTTACACAAGTCAGTAGTGACAAATGATCATTCTAAACAATTCCACTTAGTATTTGAGACTATTCTTCTGTTCCAGAAGCCTGAAAAAGGAGCAGAGAGAAATTTGTATTTCAAAGTTGTTACCAATAATATCTAACAATTCATCTAATTTCTTTTTTAAGTTAATTCTTATTGAGTTTATGATAGTTTACAATCTTGTGAAATTTCAGTTGTACATTATTGTTTGTCAGTCGTGTTGTAGGTGCACCACTTCACCCTTTGTGCCCACCCCTCACCCCCCCTTTCCCCTGGTAGCCACTAATCTGTTTTCTTTGTCTACATGTTTAAATTCCTCATATGAGTGGAGTCATACAGAGATTGTCCTTCTCTATCTGGCTTATTTCACTTAACATAACTCCCTCAAGGTCCATCCATGTTGTTGTGAATGGGACGATTTTATTCTTTTTTATGGCTGAGTAGTATTCCACTGTATACATATACCATATCTTCTTTAAACAATCATCAGTTGATGGGCACTTAGGTTGCTTCCACATCTTGGCTGTTGTAAATAATGCTGCAGTGAACACTGGGGTGCATAGGACTTTTGGAATTGCTGATTTCAAGCTCTTTGGATAGATACCCAGTACTGGGATGGCTGGGTCATAGGGTATTTCTATTTTTAATTTTTTGAGAAATCTCCATACTGTTTTCCATAGTGGCTGCATCAGTTTGCATTCCCACCAGCAGTGTATGAGGGTTCCTTTTTCTCCACAACCTCTCCAACGTTTGTTACTTTTTGTTTTGGTTATTTTTGCCATTCTAATGGGTGTAAGGTGATATCTTAGTGTAGTTTTGATGTGCATTTCCCTCTTCATCTAATTTCTTAATTTGTAGGTGTAAAATTTAGAGAAAGTACATAAAGTGGTTCCTCATGAGTTCAGATCTTTTTGGTAGAAAGTGTAATATTAAAATGTTTAACAGTATCATTTTTAAAAGTCTCAGATACTTTTGTGGCTGTCTCTATTAAATATTCACTGTTTCAAGGCAAATTCCTTGTTTTGCAAAACATTTGAGATTCTCTGACACCCACTGGGGTGTCCAGCAATTTAGTTAGTTCTGACACTACCTATCCATAGTTAGCACAGACCCGGAATATAAAGGGCTCAGTCCCACGGGACTGCCCCCCACTTCAGATGTCAGTCATGAGTCTCACTACCTCTGACCAGCTGGCTATAAATTTGGGGGTTTCCACAGTCCGCTTTTCAGCTTCCATAATTCGCTAAAATGACTCATAGCAGTCAGGATGCAGAGGACGAAGTGTGGGGGAGGGGCGCAGAGCTTCTGTACCCTCTCCTCCTCGGGCACGCCACCTCCCAGCTCTTTACGGAGGTCGTCAACCTGGAAGCTCCCCGAACCCTGTTGTTTAGGGGTTTTTATGGAGGCTTTATTACATAGGCACGATTGATTAAATCATTGGCCGTTGGTGATTGAGCTGAAACTCCAGCCCCTCCTCCTGCCCTGAAGTGAAGGTGGGTGGGGCTGAAAGTTCTAACCCTCCAATCACGGCCTGGTCTTTCTGGTGACCAGCCCCCATCCTGAAGCTGCACAGGGGCCACCAGTCATCTCATTAGCATACAAAGGCACTCTTACCACTCTGGAGATTCCAAGGGTTTTAGGAGATCTGTGCTAGGAACAAAAATATTTTTTATTATGCCACAGATGTTGAACCTAAAAAGCTGACAGTAAGCACCAAAACTTAAAATAAGTGATAACTACAGTGACACATGGTAATTAGTCTTTGGGTGGTGAACACGATGTAGTCTACACAGAAATGGAAGTATAATGATGTACACCTGAAACTTAGGTTATAAACCAATGTTCCTGCAGTAAAAAATAAAGTGAGAACTATCTCTCCTGTGATGTGATCAAGATCTTATACAATGACTGATGCTAGGGCTTGAGCAGGTGTGCCCAGACCTGGCCTGGCCTCTAACCGTTGCACCTGGACACATGTAGATTTTTGCAGCCCTGGTTTTTGATGTTGTATTTTCATTGTTACTTGTCTACCTCACCCCCTGTCAGCACAAAGAAACAATCAATAACACATTCATAACAGTTTGAATATATGGAGAGAGAGAATAGGAGAATGCACACACACAAGTTAAACTGTCAGGACACTCCAAAACATTCTTGTTAAAATTTTGTGTGTAATGCAGGTGTTTTAAAATTTTTTATTTTGAAAGGTTTTAGACTCTACGACAGATAAAATAGTACAATGAGAACTCCCATATACCCATCCCCGATTCAACAGTTATCAAGATTTTGCCACATTTACTTTCTCTTTTTTAAAAAAATACTTTTGAAGTACGTTAAAGCAAATCCCAGGTATCATACATTGAGAGCGTTTAAAAATTACAGTCTTAATAATAGTTATCTATATATTTAAAAACAAAACTTAAACTGGACAGTGGTAGCGTATCTAAAGCGCCTCTGCAGAATATGGTTTGTAAGCCACTGCCCGATTCCAGTCAGAGCGGAGTCCTGTAAAAAGAAGTGTGCGTTAAATTAAAACTGTCCTGGCAATTGCTGGCTCTTTGATCCTGGATTAGGATTAGGCAGGAGGATTAGAGGGGCATCTGTGAGTTTCCTTTAAAATCGTGGACCCCGTGATAATAACCCGTTTCTTCCATTTTTGTTGCTGGTCTGTTGTTATTTCCAGATATCTAAGTCAGGAAAGGCGCTGTCTCAGTTAGTGCCTTGAAGAAATGCCCTCATTAACACCTTCCTAATTGCAGCATTTCTCTAATAAGACCCCAATTAAGAAGGATCTTTATTTTTCACAAGTGATTTGAGAGAATGTCCGGCTCAGCTTAGAGACAGAACTTCTAAAGAAAGAAAATAACTTTGTTGTTTTATGGTCCGTGTCTTGGTACAATAAGGGCTATTCATTTTTAAAGCTACTTATATCTGCTTTTTCAAATTAGTTTTTTTATTTGGTTCTTTTAGTTTTTAAGTCTGCAGAGAAGGGGTTCTGAGCTGGTCATGGTGGGTTTTTCATTTAATTTGAAACAGTCTGATTATTTAAATTCTATTCTGTGGAGTAGTGAATACTTATGTTTTTAATATCCAAAGATTAAAATCTGCTTACCGCATAAAATGTGGGCCCTGAAACCATCAGGCAGTGCCTGGAACTGTGTCAGTGCCAGCTCTGATCCCGGTTCCTGAGCGGCTGGTGTCTGAAGTTTCCTCCAGACCAGTTTTAACCTACAGAATTTTAACATCATATTAACACCCTTTCAGTAGGCCCATGATCTATTTAGCCTTTTCCTAAATAGCTCTGTTTGGTATAATCATTATTTGTATAACTTGGATAATACACACACAGAGTTTGGGGTGGGAAAATTCATTTTGGGGTGTAGTACCAGCTGTTCCCTTTCAGGCTGCACTTGCCGAACCCTGGAGAGGCTTCAGAAAAGCAGAAAGGGAAGAGTTTGCTGTTGGTCTAGGTGGCTTCAGATGGTAGAGAATATTTACCAGTGCCAAAAAGATAATTCTCTAATAGACCGCTTTTGTGTTTTGTTTTAGAATCACAAGAAGCTGATGAACAGCTGGTCGCAGAAGTGGTTGAAAAATGTTCATCTGAGACTTGTTCTAGAGCCTCGGAAAATGAGGTATCCCCGCAGGCTGTCGATTCTTACTCAGTCAAGGATTTCAAAGAAGAGGTAGAACATGATATTAGCAAAATTTCGGTGGTGAGGCCATTTTCAATAGAAACCAAGAATTCCACGGATATCTCGGTGGCTCTTGGAGCAAAAGCAGCTCATGGCCGTGTGACCGCAGCCTTAGGGGATGCTTTGCCCTCCAGCACCCCAGAAGCCCTCCAGGACAAGGCGATGACCGAAGGCACCATGGGGGTTGCACTGGAGGCTCCCTCGGAAGCGGATCTGAAGGCCGGGAGCTCCTGTCCAGAGCCTGTGCCCAGCAGAAGCAAGCTAAGAAAGCCCAAACCTGTCTCTCTGCGAAAGAAAACAGTTGGCGACTTCTCAGAAACCGAGACCGCTATGGAGGGCACGCCTCTCCCCCGGGCATCCCATCCATTCGGTCCTGATGACATGGATGGGAACACAGATCCTTCTTTGCTGGGAGGCGCCAGGATCCAGAAGTCTCCCCCTGACATTAAGGAGACATCAGGCACTCCTAGTGACACCAACGACTCAGGGGTTGAGCTGCTGGAGGAGTCGAGGAGCTCACCTCTGAAACTCGAGTTTGATTTCACAGAAGATGTGGAAAATGTCGAGTCCAGGAAAGCCCTCCCAAGGAAACTTGGCAGGAAACTGGGTAACAGACTGACTCCCAAGGTACAGAAGGATGGCGTCAATAAGCCCGTAGTCGCCAAAGGTCCAGAGCAGCCCCCAGAGCCAGCCGCAGACAGTGCTGCTCTCTCCCCAGCGCCTTCTAAGCTGGACCCCAGCCAGTGGGACAGCCCCAACTTCAGTCCCTTTGGGGGCCGCTCCACCCTGCAGAACTCCCCCACCCTCTCCTCTAAGGGCTCCTACCACTTTGACCCAGATAACTTCGACGAATCCATGGATCCCTTTAAACCAACGACAGCTTTAACGAGCAGTGACTTTTGTTCGCTCTCGGGTAATCATGTCAGTGAAATCTTAGAATCACCCAAGAAGGCAAAGTCGCGTTTAATAACGTGAGTGACGGTGGGAGCGGGCGTTGTGTTCTGTGTACTCTCTGTGAGTTTGGCAGCAGCTGCTTTTGGTTTTGGTGAACTGAAGTTATCGTTGAGGGGCAGCGGGGCAGACCCAAAGCTTTTAACTTTATGCTGCACTCCTCACTGTGTCGATGACTCTTGTGTGGACTCAGAAATACCAGGTTTCCTTTTTAGATATCTGCCTGTTTCTGAATCCTCAGCTTATTCAGCTGGGCAGTTTTTCCCTTAGCTTGGGTACTTTTTTCCTCTTTTTTTTAAAAAAAAGAATGGCATGAGATAGGCAGGTAGAGATTTGATAGTTTTCAGAAATCCTATCTGGGCTGGCAGGACTCGCTTTCTGTACAGAATTGAGTGTCAGTGCTGGGCACCATCTTCAGATCTTCTATGAATAAAACAAAAATTCCAAGCCTGCAGATTACCTGTCTAGTATCAGTAACGTGTAGAAAAGGGTCTTACAGAAGTCTTTTCAGTTAAAACAGAAAGCTATGCTTTTTGTTGGAAACAAACCTATGGCTAAAAGTTGGTGAGAATTCTTAAGTCTCCATGTTTAGCTTCTGGCTCCATCAGTAAGGAGGTGAATTTCCAATAAGAATCAAGAATGTTTTGAACGATGTTGTAAATTGGACTGAGTCAGTTAGTCCTTTGTTGTGTGTTGTCTCCCCCACTCCTCTTCTCCTGGGAAATTTGCAGCCCCTTTTGCAAGGTCCTTGGAGCTCCCAGACTGATTACCTCAGGCCACGTTCCGTGTCAGTTTAAATGTGTCACAGGGTCACCTTATCACAAAAATGGAGTTGATAACAATACTCCCTTGTGGCCCTTGTGACATTTTACTAACAATTAGGTATAAAGAAGGAGCAAAGACATGGAGGATGAAATATGAAAAGGAAAGATGAGAAGAGGTGCCATATTTCTCGTCACCATAGACCAGTCAGGGAAATAATTTTCAGCATTACTATGAATTAAAGAAAAATGCTAGACAGTGTGGTGAATTATAGTGGAAAGAAAGGTTTAATGGTTTACAGTGCAGAGAGTATCAATCAGAACCGAGAAGCTTGTTAGGAATCAGTTCTTCAGCAACCGCTGAAGACGCCCCTGAACGTCTAAGGGGAAGGAGGTGTCATCAGTAGCTCTCGATCTGTTCTTTGATTGTACACCGGCAGTTAAATGGTCCTGAAAAAACAGCGTTGCTCTGGTGTCCTCAGAGTGCCCTTCTGTGGCTAAGATTGGCTACACAGGTCCAGACAGTGCTTGGGGTGCGTGTTGGCTGTGCCATCGCCTTGGTGCTCCTAACATGGGATATCCTAAATAAAGGTTGCCTCTGGCTAGCCAGCTTGCTAAGGAGTCATTTGGGAGCCTTCCTTTCAGCCCCATGTTGCCGGTATGTAGCCAGTGTGTTCATGTTAGATAAGGATAAATCTGGGCCAGAGGGACGGAAATTTGTCCTACACCTTATTTTCAGTAGCAAGAAGCACCCTCTCTCGAGTCCTACCACCCTCACCTGGTAGCATTTTCCTCCTATTCTGTTTTTGGTGAATGAACTTCTTGATCTAATATACTTTACAGATTTTTTTTTTTAACTCTTACGCAATCAAAACTCTTGTCCCCTTGTTCTCTCTGCAAGAGAAGGGTGCTCGCCCTCTTGTGTAACGCTGGCATTTTGTTTGGCAGATCCCTCCGTTGGTAGGGACTAGAAGTATACACGTGGAGGTCGAGTCTAGTGGAGAGCCAGAAGATCTGTTAACAGGTTACTTGTGTGGCTTTTTCAAAGATGCATATAATTGGCATCTCAGATTCTTCTGTAAAATGGAGACGTACTAAGATTGGGATTTTTCTGGACCAAATAAGATAAATTAGGTAAATCATTTTAAGCTTCTTAGTGATATACGTCTACTGTAGATATAAGCAGATACATTTTCAATTATATTTTTCTTCATGCATTGCCTTTATTCTTGATGACTAGACACTTAAGAGTAAGTGTTCTCAGCAGTGAAGTTGGTTTTATACATTTACAAATACTTGCAAGCTTACTTTTCATCTCTGAATTTGAATATGTGGCATTTCCGAATGTTCTGCCACCGTCTTACTCCGTTAGAGTTGAGGTTGCTGATAGTCATCCACTGGCCAGTGATGACCTTCACGAGTGTGACAGTTTTAGTGTGTGTCACCTTGTAGAAAGAACTTTGCAGGCTTTACATCTGCCAGAAGAGATAAATATTCCAGGCTTTACATGATTTTTTTCTCCATCTGTCTGTCTCTTTCCTGTCTCTGATTTTGTTGGTGCATCAGGACTACTGAGCAAGTGAAATTTCTCTGTTTTCTGTTGTAAGTACTCCTGCTGTTGTTTCGGTTTGGCCCTGGGACCCTTGGCAGTTCCTCTCCCAGCCTCCCCAGATCATCTTTCCATAGCATGTTGGCTTCCCTTTCTGAGTTTGACCTTCTGATGATTTTTTGCATTTCATTTGCCACTTCATGAGTCAGCTTAGCCTTGCAATTGTCTGTCCCTAGAGGAGTGGCCATCGGCCTTAGGTGCGAGAGCTTGCGCTCCCTGGCTTGGCTGGCCTCACGTGGCGCTTTGATACCGAGTGCTGGCTTGGCCCCGAGGTCATCCCAGTGGTGTTTTCAGGGACTACTCTGCTATTTAATGTTGGAAATAATTGCCCTTTTTTGTTGGGATAAGGCTGCTGGCTTGGAGCAGGGGATAAATTTGAGAGTTAACTCAAGTTTGGTGGCAGGAGGTAGCACTTAGTAAGAGCGTTCGTAAGGAAAACCATGAACTAGATAGTGGCCGTGCACATTCTGGTAACTCACATGCTTGTCTTTTTCCCCCTAGAAGAACAAGTTGCAATATTTTTTTCTTCTTTGTCAGAGTGGCGTTTTCACTGGAAATTTTAAATTCCTTAAAAACAGAACAGAATCTGAACCAGCCTTGACATCACAAATTATGTGCTAGTTAAAAAATAACAGCTTTCCCCAGTTCCGGCCTTTGCACAATACATGACATTCATTTTCCATCTTACTACTGAATAGGAACAGTAACAATTTACTCAAATATTTTTATTTTTATACTTTGTGTTGACCACAGTTCTTCTCTGTTAGCCCACAGGTCTGGAGCTGTCTTATCAGACTTCTGTGGCTTTTAGTGCAATAAAGAATTTTTAAAGAATCTGGTCCGGCGTGGTAATTTTTCCAATGACTTGTCAAGTGAGTGAGGATCAGATGAACGGAATGTCTCTGGGTGCTAAGGCTGCTCTCCGAAAGGCTTTTGGTGGCTTGTAATTGAACTGGAGGGGTCAGAGTCCCGGGACTGAACGTCCCCAGAAGCACGTGAGGAGGTCTTTTCAGGGAACGAGCTGAGCTATAGTTCTGTGCTTGCCCTGGCTCGGGAGATTCCGAGACATAAAAGGTGTTCCCACCTCTGACTGTAGATGTGTGACTCGTGTGGTGCTGTATGCTTTGGCTTCTGTCTGCACACACTGCTACCTCTGCTCCATCTCATAGCGCGGAAGTTGCCAATGTGATTCCAAACCGGCCTGTTTTTTTTTGTTTTTTGTTTTTTTTTCTTTCCAGGAGTGGCTGTAAGGTGAAGAAATATGAACCGCAGTCTCTTGCTTTGGATGAGTGTTCTCAGGTATGTCTGTGCCTGTCTCCAGAATGTCTCTTAGACCAGTGGTTCCCAAACTGGAGATTGCAGCCCCATCCCCCCAGGGGGAGGGCGTTAATGAAGACTTTCCAGTGGGTGTCTAAGAAGTCAGCTTTAGGGAACCGATTTCCAGATCCTTACCTTCCTAAACTGATCTGAGAAGGCCCCTGAGGACAAGGGGACCCTTTCACAATTACCCTATTCCCACTTTTGCTTGGTAAAGTTCCCTGTCATTCATTCTTTTTACTAAGATGCATTATCACTGGGTGGACACCTCTGGGGCACCAAGCAAAGGGGAGATTTGAAATGTGGGTGCAGGTTTTAAGAAGGCGATTGACTCTAACGACTGAATCATTCTTTTTTCTTGAGTCAGATGGTTTCAGCAAAACAGGAGAACCTGAGTTGTCAGCCCTAGACCATGAAAAATAATTTTTGATACAATGTTTTATGTCAATTATATCTCAATTAAAAAATAATTTTTGGTGGTATAATTTTTTGGTACAAAACTTGGAAAGCGCTGCAAAGAATTGAGAGAAAGTTTTAGTACAGAACTTCCTCCTGTTTCATCTGTTTATATAAATAAGGCTTCTTATTATAATTATAAAAATGAGAAACAGGAATAAATTGATGCCGACCCTTGTTTCATTCTAGCAATAAATATTTGTCCATGACTATATGAATTAATTGGGAAACACAAACAAAAAAGAAAAACCCAGGCCCATATGATTGCGATGAGATCCTTTTTTCCTTTTTAAAACTTTATTTCAGCATAATGATGATTACAGAAATACAGTCATTGGTTAATAAAATGCATTTTAAGTTTAACTTATCCAACACAATCTGGACCAAAACCTTGGTACATGATTTAAGATTTTTTTTAAAAGATTTGCAATTTGATTTATTCTTCATCTATTAAAAATATAAAATATCCACTTTTAAATGCTGCTAAAGGAGGCAGCAAGAACCATGAGAAATTTGACTCAGAAAAATAACACATACTGCACTGTAAAAGTTTTTTTTAAATTGATGCAACAAAATGTAATTGATGTCTATTTTTAGTAAAAGTTTACTTTTGTGTTTGATAGTACTTCTCGAAAGTCGTAACATTTTTAGAATAAATTGTGCACTAGTAGTTGTAATGAAAACTCTCCAGAAGAAAAGATGTTAATACTTAGAGAGTTATGGTCATAGAACAAGTTTTTTTAATTTTTAACTTTTTTAACAGAGAAGTATGATAGGGAGGCCTTTAAGAGACTTTCAGGTGTGCAAATGCATTTCTTTGCGATAATTTCTTGGTGAAAGTGGAGTGGAGATACAGATTCAGAGAGGAAAAGGAATAATGTAAATTTCTGACTAAAGAGCCTATTCGTATTTGATTTTAAATAGATCACAGAGGATTAAATAGATTTTATATAGATCGTAGAGTATGAGATCACTAGAATAACTAGATTGAGTTAAGCAAGGCCGGTATTTAAAATAGACCAGATATTATATCCTTTCCAGTTAATTAAACTTATGCTGAAAAGTTCTTAAATGTCACCTGAAGATACAATGGGGTACATGGATTTTCAAAAGAAATTCGGAAGCATATGAATAAAATATTTGAAAACCACTGCCTTGGACCGCTTCAACTTCTTGCTTATAAATTTAGGCTAGAGGGGCTGGCCCTGTGGCCGAGTGGTTGGGTTTGTGTGCTCTCCTTTGGTGGCCTGGGGTTTTCCCAGTTCAAATCCTGGGTGCGGACGTGGTACCACTCATCGAGCCACGCTGAGGCAGCGTCCCACATGCCACAACTAGAAGAACCCACAACTAAAAATATACAACTATGTACGGGGCGGGGGGGGGGTTGGGTAGAAGAAGGAAAAATAAAATCTTTAAAAAATAAATTTAGGCTAGAAAACCTTAATTTTTCAAGTCTCAGATTTGAGTTACAGAAGCTAGGTTCTAGAAAACACAGCACTGCGTGGTTGGGAGACCCCAGCTTCCTCTTTGATTTGTACCCAGATCTATTGAACATCCGTGTGGAATGGCGGCTGCCTTGCTCCATTCCTGAGAGGTCGCTTTCCCCACGGATTGCCCTCCTACACAGTAGCATCTTGTCTTCATCATTTCCCAGGATGAAGGAGCAGTGATCTCCCAGATTTCAGACATTTCTAGTAGGGATGGCCATGCTACCGACGAGGAGAAACTGGCATCCACGTCATCTGGTCAGAAATCAACCGGGGCCGAGGTGAAAGGTGAGCCAGAGGAAGACCTGGAGTACTTTGAATGTTCCAATGTTCCTGTGTCTACCATAAATCATGCGTTTTCATCCTCAGAAGCAGGTATGGAAGCATATCTTCATCTTTCTAATGTACATAAGCATGGACATGCCTGAAAGCCTAACGCAGGAGACGCCTTAGAGGTTAGAGCATTGGGCCACTGGAAGGATAGATTTAGGAGGCTGATCTCTGCTTTGCTTCTATACCTAGAAAAGGACCCAAAGGGGTGTCTTATCGAAGCGGCAGGGGCGTCTGGAGAAGTGTGGCAGGATGCACAGGGGACGTGATGTATGAGACTGCTTGGGTTTTTCAATGATTTATGTAATGTGGTCATATCTTAAAGCATAGTGGCCTGTAATCATGTCGTGATACTTACGCTCATTCTTCAACTTAGGGAAATAATAATAACTAACACAGTTAGTGCCTCACTCCGTATTGGCATTGTTCTACGTGGTTTGCATATGTTAATTCAGTGCTCCTTGCTAGGTATTATTTTTCTCCCATTTTTCATAGAAGGAAAGTGAGACACGGAAGTTAAGTAACTCAGCCAAGGTTGTTGGCTAGTAAATGGTAGAGCTGGGATTCGAACCCCAGCAGTCTGGTTCCATGGTCTTCTAACCACAGTGCTGATGTGTGAAGAGCCTGCTTTCATGACCCCAGACTATTATAAATTTCTCTGCTCACAGATGTGGTAGGTTAAAATTGACCAGTGCCCTATAAAATCCTTCTTAAAGTTCCAAGAAGAACCTAGACTGACCTGTGCTGACGCTTCTCGCTCTTGACTCTTGAGAACATTGTAGAACTGAGGTACCAAGGTATTTCTGTGGCCTTAAACTTGACTTGAGAAATGTTTAGAACCATGTTCCTGACTACATTAAACTTTATTAAAAACTTAGATCTTCAGCATCATAATTTAATTTGGGGCTTTGCAACTTAGAATTTAAAAAATCATGGTCTCTCATCAAACCAAGGAAGCAGGTGGAGATCAGACTTGGCAAGAGTTATTCCCCGGCCTCCTCCCGGTCCCCAGGTCTCAGTTCCCGTCTGTAAAATAAATGTGCCAGGCACTGTTCCAGATGTCTTCCCAGGCCTCCTTCTGCTTGACCGTTTCCCAAAGATCTTGTTTGCCGTTTCCCTTTATGCCCCTGTACCCAGCTGTGCGGGCTAATCCTGAGTACTCTTGTACCTACACTTATGTCTCTTACTTGGAATACCTTTCTTTGCCATCTCCTGTTCGATGCTGCCCATCCTTTCAGCTCTGTCTCAAAAATGTCATTTGGCTCCTGCTGTGCCTTACGCTCCCACCACATTTCTTCTTACCATTCCTGCTCCATGTGTTAATCATAGAAGGGTATCTTTGATGAACTTCCTGAAGTTAAGGACCGTGAATCTTTGCATTTCCTCTGGTGCAGGTGCATGGTAGATATTTGTTGAATTATATTATTCCTCACTAGCAGGAGGTTCCTTTCATGGAAATTTATAGAGCCGGGTTTCTGTTAGAAATAGTGTTGTCCTCAGTTAGTGAACTGCGGGTGTTACTCTGTATGTGACTGGTTATCCATGTCCTTGAAACAAGCAGAGGCGATGGTGATGCAGGGGCGGGAGGTGTATGAAGATAGGATGGGTGCACTGGCTCTGTCAGGTGAGCCAGAGTCTCTTTCCTGGGGAGAGTCACCTTTGAGCTAGGTCTTGATAGGTACGTGCATCGATGTGCACCAGAGAACCAGACTCTCTCACAGACATGGGAGGGAACCTGCTGTGTTGGTAAAACACCCAGCAGCTCTCTGTGACTACAGGGTCAGTGAGGTCACACTGAGGAATCTGGGTTGATCCTGTAGGTATAGGGGAGCCATTGAAGGTTTTTAAGCAGAGTAGTGATGTTCACGTTTATGTTTTAAATAGTTCACTATTGACAGATAGTACACTAAAATAGTAATTTGTTACTGCTATGTGGAGGATTATAGCTTTAAAATTTTGTGTGCTTTCCCAAATTTTAAAATTGTCTTCAATGAGTGCATATTCCTTTAATTAGGAAAAGCATAGAGTTGGGTTCTTTCCAATATTGCCTCTGGTGGTGGAGTGAAAGGTAGACTGGAGAAGAGGAAACCAGTTTGAAGGGTGTGGGGAGGATAATGAATTTAGTTTTTGAGGCATTGAAAGTTAAAGCTTCTTGTTTTATCTGCTACGTTGGTTAGATTGAGGGTTCCCTTCTGGGCTGGAATTTAAATCCACTCAGATTTAGTAATAAAATAGCATTCAGTGTTATTGTTCCTCTTTCTGAAATAATCTCATGCTTAGTACAACTCATTTACAAAATTTTCATGGACACAAGGGGGCAGCCTTGCTGTTCTTTTCACCTGAGGACCGCGGATCCATTTATGGCTGACCTTGCACTCCTTTCTTCTGAACCTTTTGGACTTTTAACGCAGTACCTCAATTGACAGAAGGCGAGTGCTCCTTTGAAAACCTTGAAATGCTACTCATGTGCCCATAGATGTGCTTCTGGGCCTGCAGTGGGGTTTCCAAGTGTCTTTTATTAGGAGGGAAAGGAACTGACTTCTTAGGATAACCATAAAAATGACTCTGTGTTTTAGGCGTAGAGAAAGAGATGTGCCAGAAGATGGAAAAAGATGGATCCGCCGTGCCTGTAAGTTCCTACATCGGGGTTGGGGGGGTGGGTAAGTGGAGCTCCATTTATTCAGTATTTGTTTTGAAGCATTAAATTAAATAAATTCTAGTCGGTGTTTGGTGATGGGGATGAAATACAAATAAAACACAGTTTCTTCACTTGAGGAGCTCCTGTTCTATCCTGAGACATCCGATACGGTAGCTACGTGCCTGCTGAGCACTTGAGCTGTAGTCTGAATTGAAGTGTCCTGTAAGTGTAAAGTACAACCAGTTTTTGAAGACTAAGGACAAACAAAAGGAAAATAAAATGTTTCTAACTTTTCATATCAATTAATGTTAAGATGGTAATATTTTGGATATATTGGGTTGACTATGTTATTAAAATTAATTTCACCTGTTTCTTTATACTTTTTTAATGTGGCTACTGAAAATCTTGAAATTACGGATGGCTTGCATTATATTTCTTTTGAACACCACTGGTTGCAGATACAAATGGAAACCTGTGATACCCTGTGGTGAATGTTGTAACAGAACGTGTTCCAGGGGCTGTGGGAGCCAGAGCTGACCGGCTGCTTGGCAGGTGTCAGGATGGCTGAATTTGAGCTAATTAAGAGCAAAATTTTTTTTGAACTTTAGATTACAAAAATATACAAAGAATTCCCGTAAATCTTTCATCCCTACTCCTCAAATGTTAACATTTTATGCAATCACAGTACAGTTAGCAAAATCAACACTGATACAGTATTATTGTCTAATCTATAAACTGTTCATTTTATCAGTTCTCCCAGTAACGTCCTTCTTCTGGTGCAGGATCCAGTGCAGGATCCCACATTGTATTTAATTGTCATGTCCTTAGACTCCTTTAATCTGTGACGGTTCCTCGGTCTTTGTCTCTCCTGACCTTGACCCTTTTGAAGAGTATTGGTCAGTTGTTTTGTAGAATGTCTTTCAATTTGGTTTTGTCCGGTGTTTCCTCATGATTAAGTTCAGTTTAATAGATTTAGGCATGAATATGAGAGAAGTGACATTGTAGATATCATTAAAGTTGGGGTGACTTTGATCACTTGGTTAAGGTGGTGTCTGCTGGTTCCTCCAGTTGAACTAAGTTTTTTAAAGGGAGAATGGGATTTGCCAGGCAGTTAAGGCAAGAAAGCCTGTTCCAGGCAGGAGAGTTGGCCTGTGCAAAGGCAGGGAGTGAGAAAAAGCATGCACATTATTGTAGGTATTAGTAATCTCACGTGGTTGGAGGATACTGTGGGTGAGGCCCAGATCACCCCCTCCACAGTGTGCCATAGTCATTGTGCCAGCAGATGTGGGATTCATGGTGGAAGCAGTAGATAACCATTGTGGGGTTCTAAGTAGGGAGCATCATGATCAGTAAAAGTTCAAAGGATGGGATGGAGGCTGAGAGAGATTTACAGGTAGAACCATCACTGCTTGGTGACCTTGGGGACGTACATGGTAGCTGGGGCGGTGATGGTGAGGGGAGGTTGACGAAGGCCGCTCAAGGTTTCTTCCTTGAATATCCAAGTGGTCAGTGTTGCTATGAACCTGCCCCAGTGGGACCTCATTTCAACAGATGGCACCACTGTCCACCTAGTTGTCTGAGCCACAACCCTGGAGTCATCTTCTGCGACTCTTTCCTCCTTATTCCTATGAGCAAGATCTGTGGTTTCACTGTCCAGAAACCATAGATTGTAAATCCATCTACTTTTTTCAAGCCCACGACCACCAGTCTTTTAAAATAAGCTGGCGATTTCCCAACCACTCTTCCTGTTCCCAGGCTTATTCTCTCATCCTTTTACATAAGCCAGGGTAACGTTTTAAAACACAAAACTAACCTTGTTACTCTTTGCGTAAGCCTCCTCATTGGCTCTCCTTGTCTTAGGAGAAGTTCAGACTCTTCCTGTGACCAGCGAGGCTTTCTGTGGTGGGACTCTGCCTCCCTCTCCAGTGTCAGCTGTCTCCTCCCTCCCTCGCACATCTGACACTTGCCCAACCGAATGGAGTTCCCTCCAGTTCTGTGAACCCAGCCCTTTGAGTCACTTCCCCGCTCTCCCTGCCTTTCTTAGAAAACCAAAGCTTGGTGAAGGTGAGGACCGTGCCTGTCTTGTTCGCTGCTGTGCCTCAGCACCTGCCACAGTAAACGCTGCTGATCATGGGAGTCCGCAAATGGGGAATGCAGGAGGAGGAGCAGGATCGTGGAAGTGTGTTTTTAGATAGGTGGCTTTGAGACTTCTGTGGGACCAGTTTCTAAATCATTATATGCAGCAGGCGGTTGTAAGTACACAGTGTGAGCTTTAATAGATTTGAGGGCCCTTAGGACCCAGGGGATAATTGAAGCTACCGTAGGATTAGATGAAGGTGTGATGGAAACATTCTTTACTTTGATCCACAGTAAAAATTTTGACTAATAAATATCCATGACACGTCACAACATATGTATTTATATATTTATAGAACAAATTGCGCCAAATAGTTTTTACGTTTCTTCATGTGATTCACTCTATTTTCAGTTCTATTTCTTACTTTTGGTGAGGAAGATTGTCCCTGAGCTAACATCCATGCCAGTCTTCCTCTTTTCTATGTGGGACACTGCTGCAGCCTGGCTTGATGAGCAGTGTGTGGGTCCGTGCCCGGGATCTGACGCTGCAAACCTCAGGCGCCAAAGTAGGGCGCACAAACTTCACCACCATGCCACTGGGCTGGCCCCTCTATTTCATTTTTTTAATGCAGATTATTTGTCCCACTAAATTGTTTTCAGGACTCCCTGTTAGGGTGTGACCCATGATATTTCCCCAGAGGACGCAGAATGAGCAAACGCGAAGGTGCATGGTGGAGGAGGAGCTGTGGAAGCACAAGCAGGAGGAAGCTGTGCACATAGGATTCAGGAGCACTGGCCTTCACAAGTGACAGGCACAAGCACAGGCGCTGTCTCCTCACACGTTCCTGACATTTGTTTCTGGGCAGATCACTCTTGTGGGAGCCCTGTCATCTGATCCCAGCTCAGTCCCTCATGGGCTCACGCCTGGGTTTCCTCAGCGGTGAGAGGGGTGCTGCCATCCCCACCTGTGGGAGGCTGGAAACAAAACAGCCTGGCTGTGCGCTGGGGAGACCCGTTCCTTCTGAAGTTTTCCAAGCACTTTCTGGTATTTTCAGTGTGTGAAAGTAGCAGCAGGATGCTGGAAGAAGGCTGTGCCCAGTGGACCAGGCGTTGGTCCGCGTGGCTGCAGGATTAGGTGATTCACCCAGTCCTCAAAACAAACTGGTTACGTTTCCAGATTCACAGCTTATTCATCCCTAGAATTAGCAGCACATATCTGCCTCGTGGAGTGGGTGTGAGGCCCAGAGGCAATAATATCAGGGAAGAGGAACTGTGAAGTGCTGGGCCAGTGTGAGGTGGGGTGACGTTGAGAGGAAAAGGGTGGGAGAGAGAGAGAGAAAGGAAAGTGGGGAATGCTTGTCTCTGGAGGCAGCTGCTGAACAACGTATCATATGTTGTGATCTTTGAAAAGTAACTCCAGTTGAACTTCCAAAGATAAATTAATTTCTGTTTCTTTAGAATATTGAATAAACGTTGCATAAAGATATTGCAAGATTCAAAATGTGGAATACAGAAAACTGTGTAATCTAGCACTTAGTTTTTAAGCCTCTCTGTGCTTCAAGTGCATCCCTGTAGCAGGCTCATGCCCAGTGGTAGGTGGTGGCCCAGGCAAGATAACTAAGGCCAGAGCAGGGTAGGAAGTGGGTATTAAGTCTCATCGTGCTTTTCACCTGTTGGTCTGCAGCAGTTTTCACTTAGGAGTCAATTTATTTTTTAAGACGTCTTCAGCTTTCTAAACATTGAGTTCATCTGGCTTTTCCAAGCATGTCTCAGTGAGAGAGAAGAGAAGGGGGTGGTCCTGCCCCAGTGAGTTCAAGGACAAATGAGATGAGCACAGTCAGCATGTTGTGACAGGTCTCCCACCGCAAGGACGTCAGCAAGAAGAATTACTTTGTGGCATCTGTGCTTGCTGTAAATTTGCAACCAGGACTCCATTGAGTTCCACTGTCTGTTGTTGGCCCTCAGTTGCCAGTGCTTTGTGGGACAAGGAGAAGGATTAGGGGACATGAAATGGGGGACCCTTTTGGAAGGATGTGATTGATCAATTTAGCATCTTTATTAAACACATACTAGATTGCCCAGCCTAGAAGGAGACTGTCGGACCAACCTTTTATGAAGGTGGATTCTTTAGGCTTTCTACAGTGTTCAGTAAACAACTTAAAGGACTAAGGAATGTAGCATGTTAAATCCTAGGGGAAGAGATCACCAAAATAGGCCATGGCGTAAATTCCTGCCCTTACCACCTTGTAAGTGTTGCATTTTGAGCCATGAGGCTTGTGGCATTTGTCCAGCAGAGCGCGGTGGCCAGGAGGGAGCCCCCGGCTGCAGAGCCCGCTCAGCTGGATTAACATTACATGGATTACATGTTCGCCAGCATCTGAGGTCTGACCTTCCACCTCCGACTCAGAACGCTGCTTCTTCTGGCCCCACATGTGTTAGCATTAAGTTGTTAAACAGGGCGCAGACTGACTGCATTTATCCCCTCAACAAGTGGAAGTGATGCTGAGCTCTAGACTAGACGTTGATATTTTGCTTACTAAGAAAACTTTTGACTTATTTCCTAAATTCTTGCTAACATGAGGGTCTTGGGCGGCACAAGCGGGCTGCTTCCTGGAGTTGACTCGACTTGGGTATTCTGACTTAGAGTCATAAAAACTCACGAAGACTGGGTTTGAAATGTATTAAATTAGAATCAGAAATGTAACAACAAGGTGAACCAATGTGTGGGCTTGACCTAGTGCGTTGTCTCCCCGTAGACAGGTTAGACAGGAAGCAAGATGTTGAGAAAATTTCTTGATGAGAAACGGCACGGGAAGTTAGTGGGCTGACTCAGATGTCCAGGGTGTACTGGTTATCTACAACAAACATTTATTTTCTCATCGTTTCTGGGTCAGGAATCCTGGGACAGCTCTGCTGGGTGCCTCTGACTCAGCGTCTCCCACAGGCTGCGAGCAAGGTATTGACCAGGGCTGTGGTCTCCTCCAGGCTCTGCGTGGGGTGGGGCCCGCTCCAAACTCACCTGCGTGGCTGTTGGCAAGTCTCAGGTCCTCAATAACTGTTGGCAGAGACAGCAGTTCCTTGTCACATGGGTCTCTTCATGGAGCTTCTCACAGCGTGGAAGCTGGAGTCTTTGTCAGCTAGTCTCAGCAGTGACATCCCATGACTTTACCGTATTCTGTTCTTGAGAAGCGAGTCATTAGGGCCAGCTCGCACTGAGGGGGAAGGGACTACAGGAGAGGATTAGTACCAGGAGGTGGGGGTCACCGGGGGCCATGTTAGAGGCTGCCCGCAAGTGGCTTCTGGCTCTAGTGACGGATCTATTCCAAGATAGAATGTTTCATGGGGCACCTTGGACTTCTGTCAGCATGGTGGGCCGCCCTCCCCAAATGCTGCTGGAAATGGCACTGCCAGCTTGTGGCTTCTGAGTTCCCCTTTCTGTGGCCTCTGCAGGGGTTTGTGTATTGGGCTCTTGGATGAGGTCTGTGAAGCTGTATTGCAAAAATTGTGTGTGTGTGTTTTAGCATTTTCTAGAGAGAGGGTGAGTCTGTAACACCCTGAGAAGCTTAAAAACCGCTGGTCTAAGTTGACCTTGGGACTTTCCCTTCAGTCTTGGTTCCAACAAGATATCAGAGAACTGATTAATTATAATCAATAACTAACTGATCAGTTATACTGTCATTTAAGATTATTAAAATACTCCCTAACTCTAACCCTAATCCTAAAAAAAAATTATTCCCAGGTCACTTTGGCTGGCATTTTACATGTTATTAGATCAGCTTCTTTCCCATTTATCCAAAAAGTTTACTTATATAGGTGGGAGGAAGTAGCCCAAAAAATGTCTTTTAGGAAGGAAAATAGCATGCAGTCCCTGTTCTTATGAAAACAAAATACTAACCAAATGTGGTTTTCTGGAACTTGAGTTTATGATAAATGCAAGCTGGCACAGCAGAAGGTGACGTGCTGCCAGAAGGGAACTGAAAACGGCAAGGAAGAGCCACAAAATAGAAGCCCGGGCACAGACCTTGACTTTCACGTGGCGGGTCTGTGGAGGAACAAATCACGGTGTGCACCTGACAGATCGCTGGGTTACCACACAGCATCCCTGCAGGGCAGCTAAGTTCCTGGTGGCCCTGAGTCATCCATGGGTGGGGCTCAGAGTTCACATATATTTGCCATTTCTACTGCCTTAGGCCTGAAAGTTAGTAGTGCATTTTAGAAACATTTTCATTCAAAGCGGCTAAGAAAATACACACAAAGCATCAGTACTTAAAAGAGTTGACACTTTTTTTGAAACTTATTTACATGGAACACATCCAAATGAGACATTGACCATGGGTGCTTTTCTCTTTTATGTATGTGACTCTTTGGTGACTGACCACTATGATAATTACACTTTCTCCTTTTTGCATAGGAAGAAAACTCTAGGCTCTATTACACAGGAGCTAAGACCACCCCACCCCCAATACTCATTAGAATAGTTTATCCTTTCGATAACACTGTTACTAGATTCGGTTTTTTTAAAGTTTTCCTCTGCTGCTTTTTTTCCTTGAAATATATTTTAGAAGGATGCGATCAGTTTAGTAATGAGGCGGTTATTGAAGGATATTTGGGTTAAGAAGCTGGAGACTGGTGTTTTAACTGGAACCTCTCCCCCAGGGACTGTTGGAGTCCCCCGTGGAGAAGGCCCCTGTGTCGGTGGCCTGTGGAGGTGAGAGCCCGCTGGATGGCATCTGCCTCAGTGAATCAGATAAGACAGCCGTGCTCACCCTGATACGAGAAGAGGTAAAGGCTTTCTTGTTCTGTCTGCCTATCACTCCATTTCTTTGTAACGCCCATGTGCCAGTGGCCAGATTCCATCTCTGTTGGCTTGAGTTCTCCCCGGCAGGAAGTTCTTATTTCCTGTAGCCTGTTTAGTTTGTAAAAAGGGCTCCCTGTAAAACTCCACATTGGTGCTGGAGTCCTGACGTTCTGTACCCAGAGAAAAAAGCTGACGCTTTGAAATATCCTTGAGAGTTTTGTACACTTGCTTATCTTTCAGCCTTGAAGTTTTAAATATCACATTTTGCCAACTTTACCCACGTAGGTAACTAAATCAGTGCCTTCATTTTACAGAGGATATATGCTCATGCCTAAAAATTCCTTAAATTCTAGACTTGCAATAATAGAAAATTGTTTCCTGCCTTCGTCTGCCCTTTAATTAAATAGTTCAACTCTTGATTTCCTGTAGTGTGTCTCTTGAGCAGCCTCTGTTCAAAATAGGTCACTGCCAGGCCTTTCCTGGGCGATGGGGAAAATGTGAAAGACAGTGCTATGCACAGTTCCTCAGTTACCACCCTCTCGCTGTGTTCTGTGCTGTGTTTTACGTGTTTGGTTTGTGTGTTTCTTGATGACTCCACCCCTTTTTTTTTTTAAGAAGGTAATTCCCTTGATGTAGCAGTTTTATTTTTATAATATGATGACAGTAGTTAACTACCTCTGAGGTCGGTCTTTTAAAGCTTTTAAAAAGTAGCATTAGGTTGGTAATGAGGGATGTGAGCTAGTCCTGTTGTCAGACTGGGGAGCAGAGGTAAGGAGGTCCGCCAGAATCCTGTGAATGAGAAAACTGGCCTCATCTTCTTCCCGAGAGTTAAGCTGTAAGATGGCCACCTAGTGGAGCAAAGCCAAGATGTCCCTAGTCACCTGAGGCAGACAGCTGGCTTCTAGGATCTTGAGATCCTGATTAAAGGCACCAAAATAAAGAATGTACCAATGAGAAAGAGAGAAGCACAGAGGAGAATAATAAAATGGGAACAGTGGATCCCCTCGGAGCCCCACCCAGGGCAAAGGGAGTTTGAGGCAGTAAATTCAGAGTATTTTTTTCCAGTTGGCAAGGGCATCCCAAACAGGGATGTGGGTTCTGGTCTGACTAACGAGATCCTGCCTGTAATGAGACCCAGGCATCTGGCTGGAGGCATTGAACTTCTGGGCCCCTCGTTCTGGCTCCCTTCTTATCAAGCAGCTGGAAATCTCTGTCAAAAGAGAATATGCTGGTCATGCCAACTTCTAGCGCTCTCATCTTGTGGCAGTTTCATTTTGTGTCCTAAGTAAGGTTGGTGCCCTGGCATCCACTGTGATTAAGGTGAGTTTACAGGACAGATGGCTCTGCTCTTGGTGCCCTGTCCCAGTCAGGGTTCTGGGCCCACCGAGCTGAGAGCCAGACCCTGGACTGAGGGAAGATTTAGAGAGGTTGTAAGTACCACTTGGAATTTCCCTGGGAGATCTCCTGCTCACCTGTACTCTGGTGGCCACGCTCCGGTGTGCTATGTGGCTGAGAGCACATTTTTCCAAATGCTTATGATATTATATATGGATGTTGAGGTTTTATATTCCTAACGTAGATTGAATGTCTTGGGATGGACCTGGCTATGTGTTGTTTTAGCTCTCTGATCTTAAATTCAAACTGTAATAGATTGAGTAGATAAAAACAAGCTTTATCTCTATTATAATCTAGATAATCACTAAAGAAATTGAAGCAAATGAATGGAAGAAAAAATACGAAGAAACTCGACAAGAAGTCTTGGAGATGAGGTTAGGCGGGAGGTTTGGGGGTGGGGTTGGGTACCATTCTACTTTGTTAGATTTAATACAGATGAAGCAATGAACATATCTGTTTACCACAGAGCCAGCTGTTGAGAACTTAGGGTTTTGCTATCTGCACTTAATTTGTGATTGATAATGTCATTGCATGAGTATTGCTGACCTGTTACCCTGTTCAAATACTGTAGCTTATTTCACCTTGTTCAGAACATTACAAGTAAGCAGAACCCACGTAATTCTTGTCGTTTGAAAAGACCTAAATTTGTGCAAAAATACATGTTTAAAATACAGAGTAATAAGATTTATTGACATGATTATGGAGGCATTATAATTCCTAATGCTTTTCTAAAATTATACATGGTCGCTTCAAATTTCATAACCACGAAATAGATTCTAAAAAGCATATTATTAAGAAACAAAATTGATCGACTTTAAATTGAAATCTTTTTATTTTTGCTGCTCACTCTCTAGGGTTAGGCACGGTGAAGTAACTAAAGATGGTATCAAAGAAGAGGAGAAAAAAAGAATAAATAAAGAATGTGCTGTTTGGTCAGCACTTGAATGATTAAGAAGCATTTTAAATATGTTCGCTCTATCTTGTGGCTCTTGTATTTGGGTTTTTTTGAGCATTTAATGGGTGTAAGGCACCGTGCTGGGTGTGGTAGAGAGGAAGGGACAGCTCCTGCCCTTAGAGAGCTCACAGGAGCCACCATGAGAAACTTGGATGCAGGGTCACCGTAATGGGCACAACCAGCGAGGGGCGGGGGAGCCAGCATTTCTCGCTGAGGGGTCACAGGATGGAGCTCTGTGACTGGACGGGGTAAGGAAAACATTATTGCAGTTCGCTAAAAGAATAATACGACAAGGTGGTCTTTAAAGTCTTTGACTACCTGAAATACTTTTGGAATTAGGACAATAAAATAAAACTTGTAACTGAATCAGAGGAGACAGACTGCCTGCAAGGGTGGGTTGGGGCCAGGGGGACCAGGACTCAGGTCAGATCCTTCAGAGGAGCCCCAGCAGCACCATGAACTTGTTTTGTAGAAGATTGATTTGTCTAGGCAGAATCAATCTGTTGCCTTGAGGTCGTTCACAGAGGTGCAAAGAAAAAGTGAGGGCAGTTTTTTCTGTAAATAGATTGAAAGGCTTGTTAAACATAAAATCTTAAGGAAAACCTTTTTGAATGTTAACAAGTCTTACATCCATGTAAAAAAAAAATGAGAGCCCCAAAGCAGACAAGTGGGTTATGTAAATTTTTCAGTATATGTTAATGTGTTTGATTATTTGGGGCAGCATTTCTCCAACATCTATTGTCTGAAAATCCTCTTCTGATAATAATTTTTTTTTTTTTAAGGAAAATTGTGGCTGAATATGAAAAGACCATTGCCCAAATGATTGGTAAGGAAATTGTTTCCTAAGGTATGAGCCCTAGGATCCATAGATGGTTTTCAAATCAGAATACAGGCCTCAGTTTGTGCATCGCGTAGATACAGTTGATTCTCGTTATTTGCAGTAGTTCTGTTATGTAAAGACGCCACAGACGCTGAGTTAGCGAACACAGAACCACTGCTCCTAGGGAAAATACAGCGAGCCTCTGGTCACAGCTTTTCTGTCAGTACATGGCCTTGTCTTACGTGTGTTTCTGTTTAAAGACGTCTTATTGAACGTGTGTGGTTGCTTCATTAACAGTGAACTCATGGCCAACAGTGCTATAGCTCGTGCCTGAACCAAGCTTGTCTCACACATGTTATTCCTCCTGGAAGACATCCCAGCCTTCTGGCTCTTAGGACGCTAGACAGCACTGCAGCACTAAGCTTGGGGGCCATTTTAAACAATGAAGTCACCAGCAGAAAGCACAAAAATGCAAAAAATGTGGCTCTAAATGGACTGTGGAAAGGATGCTTGTTTACATTATGAAACAAGAAGGCAGAGCATCCCCTTGTTCAGCCTCAGCTGAGGGCAGCACATGCCAGGTGACTCCGATCTTTTGCCGTTTTGCGCATGTCTGTGAATGCCCAGCAGTATTTTTTTTGAGGTTGCAAATAAATTTTAGCAAGTGGGCAGATTCACACATACGGAATCTGCGAATAATAAGGATCAACTGTAGTTAGGTTCGTTTTGGAAGAGAGCAAACTCTTGAGTTCTGTGCATAGCCCTCCCCCAGTACCCCGAGTGTTGATGGCCCAGCCACATCGTGAACACCCCCTGGGGGGCGTGTCTTTGTTGTGGGGCAGTGTCCTTAGCCCACTGCAATTGGGCTTGCCCTGTATTGGACCGACTGGGCCTTTACAAGACGACAGCGGTTGATCCTCCTGTGTTGCGTTTAGAGCCTCTCGTAGGCAATATTTTAGAGCCTCTCGTAGGCAATATTGTAGGACCGACTGCCTAAATCGCGGTCTGGTCTCCCTGCACAGAAGCAGTGGAGCGACAGCTTCTGTCCATGTCCCCTCTGCCTTCCCAGCACAGGGCCGTGGCCCAGCTGTTCCTCTGTGTGCAGTATTCTTCTCCTGCCAGCTTCTTGGCTCCGCCCTCAGTCCTTCTGGGCCTCTGCTCACATCTCTTCTCTGAGAGAGGCTGCTCTGTATGAAAAAGGAACCCCTGGCCCCTCTCTCCCTGCTTCGTTCCCCCCCCCGCCCCCCACCCATGACTTGTCACTTACGTCTGCCCCCACTGGAATGCAAGTCCTTGAGAGTGGGAGCTTTGTTCCGTCCACTGCTGCTGCCCCCCACGCCCCCCTGCCCAGCACTGCTGAGCCCCTGGAGGGCAGCTGCTAACCATTTGCTGGATGGATATGTCGTGCTTTTGATTGTGATTCACAGAAGATGAACAGAGGACAAGTATGACCTCTCAGAAAAGCTTCCAGCAACTGACCATGGAGAAGGAGCAGGCCCTGGCCGACCTGAACTCTGTGGAAAGGTCTCTTTCTGATCTCTTCCGGAGATACGAGAACCTGAAGGGCGTTCTGGAAGGGTTCAAGAAGGTAGTGTGTCCTTTTCCTTCTATCTCCTTGCTAGTGTGTCTTCTTGGTAAGGAATCTTCAAAGGTGTATGCCAGAGGTGTGGGTAGCCTTTTCAGTAGGGACTCAGGGTCTCTCTCAGCCTTCTATCTTCTGTCGCAGTGAAGTCTTTTCCCCCCTTTTTTCTTTCTGGGGTTGTTCAGGCATCTGGCCCACAGGGTGGCGTGTTTTGGTCATTCCTTTCCTGGCTCAGGCCAGTAAATCCTGGACACAGAGTGTGGCACAGAGTGTAAGAACTGTGGAGCCCTCAGACCTTAGGATTATTCTAGAAATGCTCTTTTTCATTATTCACCAATTTAATATTAGTAAAAGTAAAAAGGATTCTGGCCAAGGCACTGAAAAATTCAGGCTGTGTATTCTAGAAGAAAGTAAGTGTAAAGTTTCAAATTTAGATGCACATTGATTTAATTTAGTTGCATACCATCAATAAGACACATTTATAGCAGTGAACATTCTTTGTTTTCATATTAAAATAAAAATAAGATTGGCCAATTTATCTAAAATGGGAATCAGGTTGCCATTCAGTTTTTAAAAACTGCCCTCCTAAAGTAGGCGTGTTGGTGTAACTGAGCCTTACTGTATGATTTGAAAATTAATACATGAAGAAATTATCTAGAATGTCTTCAATGAGAATTACTTGTGCCTGTTTCAGATTACCATGGAGTGTAATGTGAAGTCATCTGAATTGTTTTCTCATTTTTTAAAAAAATGAAAACTCTGATACATGGTATATGTTATTAGTAGAAAAAAAACAAAATGACCTGTTTCTTTTATTTTAAATTGTCACTTTGGAACAGAATGAAGAAGCCCTGAAAAAGTGTGCTCAGGATTACTTAGCCAGAGTTAAACAAGAGGAACAGCGATATCAGGCGCTGAAAATCCACGCGGAAGAGAAACTAGACAAGTAAGAGCTTGCACATGAGAATCTCACTTTTCTTGATGCTGTCAGAAGGTTGATGGAGGCAAGAAAAAAATCGCCGTTTTGCAACTCCAGTTTGCTTCTGTGTGTGTGTGTGTCTGTGTCTGTGTGTGCGCGCCCGCTTTATTGAATTTTTTGAATAGGTAGAATCTTCACATGGTTCAAAAATTTAAAAGATACACCGTCTGTCCTTCCACCCCATCCCCCATCCCCCGCCACCCGGGGTTCCTGCCTCTCTCCTCACCTGAGTAATTGCTATGCCTTTATCCTTCCAGATGTACTTTTTCCCCTTTCTTTTTGCCCCAGCTTTGTTGAGATATAATTGACATGTAACATTGTGTCAGTTTGAGGCGTGTGAGTGTTGACTTGATGCGTTTACCTGTGGCACCACTAAAGCCTTAGCTAACACCTGCATCAGGGCACATGATTACCTTTCTTTTTTACGGGGTGAGAATTTCCTTTTTTGTACAGATGATCACATACCTCGCTTTTTTCACTTAGCAGTATATTTTGGAAATCTTTCCGTCTCAATCCATGAAGAGCTTCCTTATTTTTTTAATAGCAATATGCTGTTCCATTGTTGGAATGTGTTATTTAGTTAACCAGTCCCCTCCTGTTGGACATTGAGGTTATTTAAAATCTGCTACAAACAATGCTGCGATAAGTAACCTTGCATGCATGTGAGTTATCTGTGTGATAGAAAAGGAATTGCTGGGCCAAAGAATGTATGAGTTTATAGTTATGATACGTATTGTCAGATTGCCCTCATTAGACTTTTATCCATTTACATCCCTACATAATGTATGAGAGCATCTCTTTTTCCTATGGCTTTGCCAACAGATCACATTTTTGGTTTCCTGCAAATCTCATAGGTGAAAGATGGTGTTTCAATTTACTTGTTTCGTTTTTGGTAAGGAACAGAGCATTTACTTTATTTGATGTAGTTTTGATTTGTGTTTATCTTATGACTGAAATTGAACATATTTTAGCAGCCGACTGTAAGTGTATTTGCTTTACTGTGAATAACTCTATTCTTTGCATGGTTTTCTATTATCAGTTTATATATTTTGTACGTAAATATGTTTATGTATTAAGGATGCCAGCCCTTTGTAATATGAGTTGTGAATAACTTTTCCAGTTTGTCATTTATCTTTTGGCTCTGCCTGTGCTGTTTCTGATATGCAGAAATTTATTTTTATGTGATGAAATTTATTGGTCATTTCTTTTACAGCTTCTGGATTTCCTGTTATAGTAAGAAAGATGGTCCCCGTGCCGAATATAAAATATTCTTCCTTATTTTCCTTCTAATCCTTTTATGCCTTAATTTTTTTAATCTTTAAATCTGACACATTTGGAATTTGTGCTGGGGAGTAGTGTGAAGGATGCATCCAACTTTAATTTTTAAGTAGAAAGTAGTCCATACCTGCGCGTTTTGCTGTCTTGTCTTCCTGTTTGTAAAACCTTTTAAGTTCTGCCTTTGCCATTCCCACCCCCAGAGATACTGCTATTAAAGGTTTATTATGAGTCCTTCCAGTCTTTTCTCTGTGCTTTTACAAATACTACCCAAAATGTTTTTGGACTCTTTTTTTAATAATATTGGAGTCAAATAATGCAAGTTGCCTTTTTCACTTAATAGTATGTCATGGCCATTTTCCATGTCAGAACATATGGTTCACTCTAGTGATTTTTATGAGGTATAGGACTATTACATTCCTTTATTGAGGGGCGTTTAAATAGTTTCACCCTCTTTTCCACGCAGACAGCACTGCGGTGAGCGTCCTTGTGCACTCACCGTTGTGCCGGGGGGTGTTGCTGTGGCTGGATCCCTAGAGGGGAGCTGCTGGCTCAGAGGGCGGATGCACGTTAAACTGTAGTAGTTACCACCACCTCGCCCTCCACAAAGAGTTTTCATTCCCCCATCAGCACCTGAGCCTGTCTCTTTCCTGGCATCTAGGCCAGAATGAGACAAGATCATCCTTATTCATTTTTGCCAATCTGATAAATTTTATCATTTTAATTTGCATGCCTCTGATTACTAGTGACTTTTTAGCATTCTTTCATCAGTTAATTGGCTGTTTATCAACTGACATTCATGGCTTTTTTAAATTTCCTTTTGCATCTCATTATTAAAGTCACTTTTAGGTCTGTGTCTCATAGATGTCATTGGTAAGTGTCCTGACTCTTTAGCTGTGACAGTCCCACAGATAATCCTGTCTGCTCTTGTACTGGTTAAAAAAATCCGAGATTGTTGTAGAAACTGTCATGTGATTCCATTTTCTAGTGACATATGAATTTTGAAGGGCACTGTGAACTTTGAGATTAATTCTACCATCGGTTAGCACCGTGGAAATTTCCTTAGCAATTGTGTATAAACTGAATTTTTATAAATTACAATTGAATTATTTAGGTCACCGATTGCTGTTTTTTCCTCTTATTTGTGAAGTCAGTTCTGTAGGTCTGTGTCTCACAGATGTCAGCGGTTAGTACCCTGACTCTTTAGCTGTGGCTGATGACTAACCATGTGCTTTTTGTCCCTTTGTTCTGCAAACAAAACACCATAAACAGAGCCAATGAAGAGATTGCTCAGGTTCGAACAAAAGCAAAGGCTGAGAGCGCAGCTCTCCACGCCGGACTCCGGAAGGAGCAGATGAGGGTGGAGTCCCTGGAAAGGGCCCTTCAGCAGAAGGTACAGAGGGGCGCGTGGTGGTTCCTCCTCGCAGTGGTAGCTTACAGTGGGTCTCGGTGACAGAGGCCTTGCCTTTTTGCTCAGACCCTTTACTCCAGCTCCTTTGTGAACTGATTCAGGTGGAGATGAAGCAAACCCTTCAACTCCCAGGCATATCAGTGGGGGCCAGCCCCAGGCAGGGGGCAGAGAGGGGGCTACATTCACTGAAGTTCAGGGCAGCATGCTGGTTGGGCTCTGAGGCGATCTTCTTTTCTTTGTTTTTGCTTTTTATGTAGTATGTGAAGTCATGTTCCCCTTTCATTGCAGTTTTACCCTCCAAGGGACATTTGGACGTCTAGAGGTATATTTGGTTGTCATAACTGGGAGATGCTACTGGCGTCTGGTGGGTAGAGGCCAGAAATGCTGCTGAGCATTCCACAATGCAGGACAGCCCCCACAACAGAGACTGACCCCGCCCAAAATGTCAGTGGTGCCGTGGTTGAGAAACTCTGCTGTAGCTAAATAAAAACCAGTGTTAATGATGATGCCTATTGCTCACTACTCAGTGATTCTTAGACTTCATTTTTTGTACCCCTCTGGTGTTTTTCTGACTGTCTCCTATACGTACTCATGCCTATGGCATCCATTCAGCTAGGGCTGGGGTTTTTATCATGGTCCAATAACCCCTAAGACAGTGTTCCCTCAGATACTCAGACTCCAGAATCCCAGGTCCCTGGAGATGCTGATGCATCAAGTGAGGCTCGCCTACTTATGTTTTTAACAAGTACCCCAGGTAATTCTGTGATAACAAGAAAATTTGAGCACTAAGAGGTTCATGGACAAGCCGCAGAGAGCTGATGACTGCCCTCAGCCCCTACTCAATTCAAGCATAACCTTGTGAACACATGACCACTTTCCAGAGGAGGCTATAGCCCTCCTTTCTCTAAAGGGTCTCTACGTAAAAGAGTTAAGAACCACCGAGTTAGGATGTCTAGATAGAGTATAGCCAGTCTTGGGACTAGTTAGCTGTAATTGGCCTTCATCTCAGGACACAGCTGGCCTGCATAATCATACATCATTTGTCTTTCAGAACCAAGAAATCGAAGAACTGACGAAAATCTGTGATGAGCTGATTGCAAAGCTGGGAAAGACTGACTGAGTTCCCCCTGTTAGCTCAGCAGAGCTGCATCTGGCTGCTTCTCTCGTGACCACAATTATCTTGCCTTATCCAGGAATAATTTCCCCTTTGCAGAGAAAAAAAAAACCTTTAAAAAAAAGCACATGCCTACTGCTACCTGTCCCGCTTTGCTGCCAACGAAACAGCTCTGGAAGGAGCCCTGGAGTGTCGCACAGTCACGGAAGGAGCGGCGTCTGGCTGCCCTGGAGCCTCTCAGTTCTCCAGCAGTGGGTCCACTTAGACAGGCTGCTCAGTCTGGGTTTGTGGTTTCTCTATCTTTAGTTCGTTTTAGAGTCATCTTTGCTTTCCCGGGTGCGTTCAATTTGTGATTTTGTGTCTACTGTTTGGGATCATTTCCTGTCCACTGTGTGTCTGTTTGTGACCTGTTTATTTAATCTTTTAAAGTTAATTTCCATATTAGTGGCTTTACTTGAGGAGATAATTTGGCTTATTGTTACTTCCAGTTTATAAACAAGAAGGGACTCCGAGCGCACATTTTCACACACTCACACACACGCGTTTACATATGCTGCTGTTTTTGCCTTGAAGCGTAGTCAAATAAGAACTCTCTACAGAAGAGCATATTTCCATAAATGTAAAACCCTGTTTTGAAATAGAGTCCTGGCTCAGAATGCCACTTCAGCATTGGGAGGGTTGGAGATGTGAAGCCCCCAGCCCCTTGCCTGTTGTGACTCATAACCCAGCACTCAGGTTTCACATCTGGGGAGGAGGTTTTGCTGTGATGTTTGGTTGCCCTGGGATCTGAATGCTCCTCAGCCTTAATGAGTGGGGCCCTTTGGGGGAGTCTTAAGACCAAAAGTGTCTGCTTCCTGCGTGAACAGCAGCTGGGGAACCCCTCAAAGCTGGGGTTTGGCGGGTCTGTCCTAGAACCATTTAGTCTCCTCTGCTTCCGTTTGTCGCTACAAAATTAACATTTACTCTTTATTGTCTTTATTTGAAATGTGCAAGGGAAATCTACTTGTAAAAGGTTTAGATGACCTTCTCTGATTAAGAGGCAGGTGTAACCCCATTAGCAATTATACAGTGAAGAAACAGTTGGTTTTGGACAAGTGTGATACATTGTTCTTCAGATTTTTTCAAGGCAAAAAAAATCCTTTCAAACTTAAGATAGTAGAATTTTAAACACAATGGGCAGTAAGAAGCATGTGAACCACTCCGGAAATCAGCGCGTTTTGAATCTTTTTAAAACAAAGATCATTTGAATAGTGGAGGAGGGGCACGCAGGGAGCAGGCTCACACTCACAAAACCAAATTCCTCAAGCTCTTCCTGGACTCAGTTCAGAGTGGTGGGGCCATTAACCCTCCACTGGAAATTTTCCATGTAAGGTCAGTGAATTCCCTTCCATTTGACAGGCAAAACCAAATCCATGCAAGTGTTTTAAAGCACTCTTTTGTCTTAATCTTAACACCTTGAAAGTCTTCACCGTAATGTGCACTATATTCAGTACGTGTAAGTTTTCGTCCCATTCTCGTAAAACCATTGCATGATCCAGCTTCAGCAGTGAATCGTGCCTAGTGGAGAACCTCTGTAGATCTTTGCAAATGAATTCTTCCTTAGCAGTGTACTCTTCACAGGGTGCAATCTTTGGCCCCAGGCAGGTCAATAATGTCTTTTAAAGCCAGAAGTCACGTTTTACCAATATGCATTTATCATAATTGGTGCTTGGGCTGTATTTTAAAGCCTACTGTCTTAACATTTTGTACAAAAAAGGACAGAAATGATTTGTGGTTGAAGAAGTGACTTGACAATCATTTGGGCGTTGAAAGCAGTCGCTGTGGTCTCGTGTGAACGCTGTCCTGTAGTCACAGTGTCAGTGGAGGGCCAGTGTCTCCAGCTGGCGGAGCTGATTTCCTCTTTCAGTCTTCTGCTACGAGGGAAATTAACTTTGCATTTTGCAGACAGAAGCATTGCTAAACCTTTTTGCTGCTGTGTCTTGGTGACATGTCCGTGTTTTGCATTGATCTGTTTTAAGCATGAAAGGCTTATAGTGGTCTCCATTATAAATCCATAATCTTCTTTAGGCTTCTTGTGTATGAAAAGAGAAGTAGCTGTGTGTTAAAACAAGTGATGACAATCCGTCCCTCGCGCACTGGCGGAAGGGATCCCTTCAGAACTAGACCCTAGTGAGTGAAGTTGTTGCACAAAGGATAAGAAAGGGGCCCTGTTAAGTGATATTTGCCGCTGGCCTCTCAACCACGCCCGTGACCAGGAAATGTTCTCCCTTCTTAGTTAATGGGTGGATATTCCCCAACACGAATAAAAATGTAGCTTACAGCTGGCAAATTAAGAGAATGTACTGGGCGGTATGAAGTATGTTTGTTTATTTCTCTTTAAAAATAAGCCAAAAAAAACCCCAAACTTTTAGACCTCTGGAGAGTAAGAATACAGCCCGGAGATGTGCTTCCCAACATGTCAGGGCCAAATTACTTGTTAGCTGGGCAAGAATAAACCCTGTTAGAGACATGGCGAGGGAAATGAGGGGCAGCTGCCGGCCCGGGTGTGGTTGGGGAGTGTTAGCTGATCTTGTTGAGGCTCTGGATCCAGAGCCCTGTCTTAAGGTTTTGACTTTGCCAAAGTGTAGATAGATAGTCTTTACCTAAAAGTATTTTAATTGGAGGGTTTAATGTAAGACAGAGCGACCAGTTTGTCACTTGGTTGGCTGGTCAGTTACTGTCAGACCTCTGGAGATTTACTTTATTTGGAGAAGCTCCTGGGAGCTGGTGACCTGCCCAAACCTTTTGTTCTGTAAAACTGTTCTGGAAATATTGAGAAGCCCAGTTTTCTCACGTGATCTCTAGCTTCTTCAGACCCGGCCCAAATTAGGAAGTGCAGACCACATGGTGGTGAGAAACTCTGAGGATCTGGCAGCCTTCCAGAATGATATGGGGTCAAAGGGAGGTTTACAGTTCGCTCGGGAGGACAGCTCAAGTCGAATTTCTTTTCCAGCCAGTTACCCTTTGTACCTGTGCCGCACTGTGCAGCTCTCACAAATGCTTAGATACTTGTTGAACAGCCCTGAATCCATCCTGTTATAATGGGGAGTATAGACGGCCTCGAATATTCCTGGGCTGCCTGCAAGCACTCAGAGGGGAGCACTCACTCAAACCCCGTAACAAGGGGCTCTGTGGTGGCTCTCACGCGCAAAGGGGAGTTTTTAAAGGGCGAGCGCTGGAGAGTCATGTACACTAGTTGGAAGTGATTCAGCACATCCCTTTTTAGTGGAGTGAAAGCTCTGAGGCTCCCTTTTTATGTCCTTTTGGTCTCTCACTACCATTGGTAGCCATCTCATGAACTGGACCCCACTGCTGCCTCTGTAGCTTTGCAACCATGCAAGCTTGCTCTCGGACTTGGGTTTCTTACTTTATCCTCTTGTTGGGAAGAGAGAAACTAGGTGTTGAAAGAGTCAGTGACTGGGGCAAAGGATTTTAAAGTAAAGATGTATATATTCTGAAGAACTTAGAAGATAGCAGATTATTATTTGCTTATTAAAGAACAAATATAGTCTGGGAACCCCAGAAGGTCAAGCCAAAGGTCTAAGAAGTCATCTTCTTAAAGGATTTTATTAAAGAACTATTTTGGGGAGACATCTGTTCAAAAAGACTTTGCCTCCAGATTCTTGTGATTTTAAAAAAGCAATTTATTGCTCAAACCTTGAGTCTCCCAACTTGATATAATAGACACTTCTCTCTAAGAATCTCCTCTGGAAAATAATGTAAATGACAGCATTTCCAGCGAGGACCCATTCCTTAGTGCCCAGAGCTAGCCGTTCTGGAGACTAAAGATTGCACTTTTCGTAGTTCTTTTTGTCCAAATGCAATCCCATTTCTGTGCCTCTTAGCATGCAGTTAGATTTGGACAAACGAGATTCCTAAGGAATGACTTTATTAACTATAATATGGTTACAGCTATTACACATATATATATATTTTTCGGGTTGTAGTTCTAACGTGGAGGCGTGGCGCTGGCCTGTGGCGGTCTGCATAACGCTTTAACTCATTTGCAGGAGGCCAGGCGTGGAGCTGAGTGGAGCTTAAACCTTCCCTGTGTCGATTCTTCACTTTAGAACTGTAAAGATGCCACTTTCTCCTCCTCTGCCTTTTAGTGGTATCTAAAATAAATTCCAAAAAGTATCTCCTAGTCACATGGTTAACCGACATTCTGTGTTTATGAATAACTTTCAAGTGGACCTATGAAAACTTGAACTCTGGAAGCGCCGCCTGTGCAGACACAGGGCAGCCTGTGGGTTCCGCCCGCACAGCTCCAGGCGTGGGCCTTCTCCCCCAGTGCCGCGGGATCCAGGCATTTTCAAATCTCAGAGGCAGCGGTAAACTTTTCTGTGTTGCTGTTACAAGTGTGTGTTTGCCAGTAGATCCCATTCGTACTAATGTGCCAACAAGTGAACGCTAATTGCACATCTGCTTCCACTGTGTCCCCACGGGTGCCATGAAGTGTGTGAGGAGCCTCTTGCCTGGAGGAGTGGACGCTGCGTTGACTACTGCTGTCAGGATTGTGTTGTGTGGAATAATCATCTGCATAAATTTTATATGCACAGTAATTTCCCTTTTATATGTCAGGTAAATATTTGTAAAAGTTATACTCACACAAATGAAATTATTATAATGATTACTAATATATTTTTTCCATGTTTCATTGCCTGAATAAACACTGTTTACCACTGTTCTATTTGGGGTGTATGTTTTTTTTTTCCTGGTTAGAAGTCTTTTTATCCCCGAGAATGAAAATTTATGACAGCTTCGTCTTTATGAGCTCCATATTTCAGTTTGAAAATAGAAAAGACGACGTTTTCACCACACTCATTTTGTGGGAATTTATGCATTTGGTTGGGTGTGTAATTACAAACAAAACAAACTTTGGACCTCAGACCTTGCCATATAAATTTCTGTGCCTTTGCATCTGTGCAAACAGTCTTAATTGGGTGCCTCTTGATTTTGCTCAGAGACTGCTTGTCTGCCCTGGCATTTTCCGAGTCATAAGAACCCAAGTCACCCCAAGCTTTCTGACTCGTTGAAGGACACAGGATAAGGCAGAACTGTGTAAACATGGCAGGACGGCCCACAGAAAATAATTGACGTTTTACGTTTCTTCTAGGTTAATAGCAGGAAAAACTTTTTCAGTACTGGCCAGGCCAACTCGGTGCCTTGAGGGGTAGGGAACTGGGCAGGAAATTTCGTGAGTTTTACCACAGGAGAAGATAAATTAGGAGGCTAGTTAAGGCTCCATTTTACAACTTAGGTGGGGATCCACTGAGAAAAATCAGAGCACTGTCGCCTTCTTGGTACTCGCCGCATCTGAAGTGATTGTAGTCTATAAGGTTCCTGGAAAGAATCTTTCTCACCAGTGTGCTCCTGAACTGCCGGTGGGGCATCCTGCAGAATGACTACAGGAGGTCTCGGCACTGCCTTGTACTAAATGCTACAGACAGAAATTATCATTCTCTAAGAATTAGTAGCATGAATAAAGTGGAAATTACCTTTCTACTCTCTTACAGAATTTTATTCTTGGATAATATGAGAATTTTATTCTTAGATAATATGAGATTAGTAGTGTTTTGCACACTTTTACAAATAGAGGTTCATGGGATCATTTTAGTGAGTGGCAATCAGTATTTTAATAAGGAAATATGACAGGAAATATCAAAGTGCATTGTACAAGGTAAGGGTAAGTATTGCATCAGGAAATTCGTTTCAGTTAAAAATGTGTGTCTACTAGGTCATGATGAAAAATGAATTTCTTGCTATGGCGTGTCAAAGCATGAAAAAACTGGATCTAACCAACTGAAGTCATTTTGCAACTGAAGAAACAGGCCAGAGAGAGAAGCGATGTGACCAAGACCAGAGCTTGTATAGAGTCGCCCTCAAAATGGACGAAGTTGTCCCTTGGTCCTCTTTAAGCTCCTTAAATCCAAGCTCTCCCAGGTTTGGGTAGTACGTTTGGATCATTTTCTAAGTTTGTAGGCATTTAAGGACCAATCAAAACCAAATATCTTTTTCCTACATTCATTTCATTTACCAAATACTAATTGCATTGGCAGAGTTTAAAGTGAAACATGCAAAAGTTCCCGAGGCTGGGTAGCTAGAGAGAAATTGTTTTCAAGTTTGAAACTCCACTGAAGTATAAATGATCTGCTCATTAAAACTGTGTTTTCCCTGGGGGCCGGCCCCATGGCCGAGTGGTTAAGTTCACGCGCTCCACGTCGGCAGCCTAGGGTTTCGCAGGTTCGGATCCTGGGCACGGACATAGCACCGCTCATCAAGCCATGCTGAGGTGGCGTCCCACATGCCACAACTAGAAGGACCCACAACTAAAATGTACAACTATGTACTAGGAGGATTTGGAGGAAAAAAAAAAAAAAAGATTGGCAATAGTTGTTAGCTCAGGTGCCAATCTTTAAAAAAAAAAAATCTGCTCTTTCCCGGAAGAAAGCATCCCCATTCTACATTTCTTAGCCCAGTTGTGACTTGTAGGTTATTTAAATAGTGTGCTTGAGGATGGGGACACAGCAGTGCTTACACTCTAATTATGAGATAAATCTAACCCCAAACAGGACAAGGTGGCGTGGGGTTGACAAGGAATGTGGCACTAGTGCCGAGAGTCCAGGCGGAAGGACGCAGTAACTGCATAGAGCGGGGGGCCGTGTAGAATACCACGCTCTGGGCTCCGCCCGGCTTCACATCCCAGCCTCTCCGTTATCTCACCTGCCTGGGCTTCAGTTTGCCTCACTCTGGGGATAGTAGTTCCCACCTCCTGAGGTGATCGTGAGGACTCGGCAATAATACTTGCATTAAGGGCCCTTGGGTCCTTAATAAACGCTAGTGATTACCATCACCTAAAACCTCGAGTTTATGAAATTGTCAAATGGTGGCTCCCCCTTAGAACCAAATGATTTGGTTCCTTGTTTTATTGGACATCTCAAAATAACAAGGTTTTGGAAACTTGCGAGTTACCTAACTTTGTTCTTTTATTTGAGATTGGTAGGAGGTGGAGGAGGATTTGCTGAAGACAGATTCCAAAGTTGGGGTGATGGAGCTATTAAATGGGGAGTGGAGGGCTCTGTTGGTGTGTTACAGACATTCCAAGACTCCCCAGACCTGTACCAGCCATGAAATACTAGGTTTCTGTGGTCTCTATTTTTCCTTTGCCAAAATGGGTACATTCTTTGAAGTTTGGTTCCCGTGGGAATATATATGCAAGAACAGACTGAAGCTATAACAACAGAAATTCATCTTCTAGCCAATTTAAAGGAAAGAGTCATTGACATTTGAGTCCCCTATGTGCCAGGTGCCTTTGCAAATATGTCACTTTAACAGTTCCATGTAGGTGGAATTGTTTTTTGTTTTTTTTTAACCAGTGGAAAAAATGAGGCTAAAAAACACAACACCAAACAGTTAGCTAAGAAGGTGGAGCTGGCATGTGGACCCAGGTCTCTGATTTCAAGTCCCATTCTCCTTAAGGCCATGTTGGGACATACTTTGGAATATTTTCTTCAATAATGAAAAGGAGGACTTTTTATTCACTAAATGAATTTTCTTGCTCTCATCTGGAGTGACTATTTCAATGGATATTACAGAAGCCTTTACATAATCATGTCACCAAAATTCAGCAGAGGGAGAACATGAAACCTAGTCAAAGACCCTTAATTCATGACTGTTTTGGAGAGGCACTCTCGAGGGAAGACAGAACTATTCTCCTTTGTTTCAGGCATGTTTTGCAGAAGGAGCTTTGGCGTGGAAGGCTGAGATGCAGGGTCTAGTCCTCGTTTTTGTCAACTGCTTTGGGCAGGCCCTTAACACCCTCATTTGGACTGAGAATGCTAGAAGGTGCCTTTGATTTTACAAGTTTGCCTAAAGTGCTGACCCTAAGGCAAAGCTCCCCTAGTTTCCCTTTCAGAATCCTCTGGAAATGCCTGTCTTGAGATGTACTGACTAGAGTGGACTAGCCACAAGATGGCGAGTCCATAGGACTTTCTGCCAAGTCCACTGTGGCTGCCGCATTCAGAGAGGTGGACACCAGCCCACATCACAGAAGAAGGGGAAAGGCCTCAAGCCAAGTCTGCTGCGTTCTCGTTTCCTCTGGCCACTGCTGCTCTCTGGCCCTCAGTTTTGTCCACGGGATGAAGTTGGGTTCTGTCCTCCAAGCCTCTACCGAGAGACAGTGTCATTACAACCACTGTACCCAACGCTCCTATGACTCAAGCTGGCACGTGCTAAATGTTTGCCCGTTGCATGCCCTGTGAAGATGGCCAGCCTGTGTCATCTGCATCTTTGAGAATAGATTAAATTGACAAAATGTGTCGAGTTCTTCAGATGTGCAAACTCATAAACATGAATATTCAACCATTAGACTTAGAAAGGCATTTTTGTTCTAGACATCAAAAGTGACAGCACAATTAACTAATTCGGTGCATTCAGGCATAATCACAGTATTTTATAAAATCTTGAAGAGTCGGGACAGACCGGTTCAGACCTTGTGGGTGATGTGTATAATAAATATGCCTCTGTGTCACCCAAAGGCCAATACTTCGTGTAACTTGTCTTTTATGAAGTCTTGATTTTCCCAGACACGTTTTTTCCTTTCTCCCTTTCAGCTGTCTTTGTAACATCACCAATTTTCAGCAAAAATAAGACATCTGAAATATGATTTTATTTCCTGCATCAGTTTCCAGTGGAAATGCGTGTGAATGGTCGCTGGGGGGCTCCACTCCCAAAGACTTAGAGTCTTTAGGGCCATGTTTTTCAAACTGACGGTCCAAACCCGTTTTAGAGGATATGAATTAGAACAGAAAAGAAGAGAGCTGGTTGAAAGTAAATAGTGAAGCAAAGTACTGTTTCGTGAAACTTAATTCATTTACATGTATGCATGTGTACACGTGTGGGGGTTGCAATTTTAAACGTCTTGGGTTAGAGGCCTGAAAAGTTAAAGTTTGAAGGTTTGAAAACCTGACTTTAGGTTATGGGGGAGGGAGATTGTTGACTCAGTCAAGGAATTTAGGGAAGCGAAAAATAACTTACGATGGCAATGTCCGTCTTCTCGAAGTAAGCTGCAGAGTCAGAGCACTTAGGTACTGACAAACGCAGTTTATGGTAACTGAAGAAATCAGAAGTCGAACAGGGACATGAGGCTGCATCCAGAAAACAGGGCGTAAGGAAAATTCCTTTCTAATGCTCAGTTCAGAGGGAAAGAAGAAAAGAGGAAGTTAGGAGGGGGCATATAAAGAAGAAAAGCTTATAAACCTAAAATTGCTCTAAAAATAGTCTATTAAAAAAAAAAAAGAATGAAAGTCAAATCCTTCCTTCCTTCCTCCATGCCCATAGCTCTTCCCCTCCCCGTGGCAGCAGAGGGCGGGCTGCTGAGCTCAGAGCTCCATTTCTGTTTGCTACCACCGCTAAAAATTAACCTGACTCACACCTGAGAAAACGAAACCTCCTCTGTGAGAAGCAAGAATTCTCCTTGGGTACAAGCTCGTATTCTAAACTCTCTTTACACAGTTCGAGTCTAGATTATAAATGTTTGTATAAATGCAGAAGGAGATCTCTTATTAAAATCTTAACTAGATTTGGTTGATTTTCTGTTGCCATCAATGCCATTCTTCACTTGAGTGACCACAAACAATTAACACACGTATGTTAAATGAATAAGTGACTAAGTCACCAGGTTACTGCATA